TGGGCAAACCATGGAATTGGTTTGCCTGCACCATCGTGGTGAGGCTGGTACGGAGCTCAAAGTTCCCATCCCCAACGTTGACAGTGGGCCCAATGGGCACGTTGGCAACAGCGGGGGTGGAGTAGTCATGGAGGGTCTTGGCTATGATTGGAGTAGCAGATGGTGCGAGGGTGACTGGTTCGACTGTCGAAAGAGTAGCAGAAGAAGAGGAGGCATGAGACCGTTTCTTCCTTAGGAGTGCCTCTAAATTTTCGATGTAGTTTTCCCACAGTTTGTAACCGGTCATACACTATCCTGTTTTCATCCACAACAGGAGAAAACAAGCAAAGTTGGCCTGCATAAATAATGGCTACCTTACATGCATATTATCATGAACATGTCCTACTAGATTCTTTAATCAATATGCCTTCCCCAGCAACGGCGCCAGAAAAACTTGTTGGCATTTCTTAGCACAATCACCAAGTATGGAGATAGAATCCATCCCCGGCAACGGCGCCAGAAATGCTTATTGGCACTTCTTAGCATAGCTATTAGGTTTATATCCCTGGCAATGGTGCCAGAAGTGTTTGTTGGTATTTCTTAGCGTCATCACTAATGATTAGTAATGCCACTAAGTAATAGCCTTGATAGTTCCTTAATGATTTTAGATATTTATTCACAAGTGCACGGAGCTATCATTGTAGCATTTCACCCGGAAGTATTCAAGGTATCATTATTTATATTTTCCCAAAGGAAGGCATTTGATTAAGAGTCTAGTATGGATATGAACTTGAACAATAATGCTAGCAAGTACACCAATGTTTATAATAGGGGTAGGAACGGTGATTTCAAGATACTGGACACACACTTGGCATTCCTCAAAGGATAAAATAGAAAAGAAAGAATAAAAGAATAATCCTAAGTCGAGCAGGCATTGGTCTACTATAGTCATACAAATATTAGTTAATGATCATACAAATTACATAATTAGTCTTAGGGCTAAGTGTGAAGCAGGTCGGGAGGCCAATGAGTATTGGTCTACCAACAACCTCATGTGACCATTTAGACTCCTACACCCTAGTCGAACATGGGGGATTACAAGGGATGGATAGGGCTATCACCACCTACCGCCTACCTCTTAACCGTGGAAAGGGACAATGAATTCACCTGTCTCTCCATACCCAAGCACCACGCTTGCGTATACAGAAACTACCTAAATCCCCTGGGTCCTCGACCCTACGGATCGATAGGTAAAGAACTTGGGCACACCTAACAGCACGATGAACCACCACCTCAACTTTGCTCTAGTTCCGATTATATAAGTTTTATGATTTGTTAAGCATAAAGTCATGTATGCTATTGTCATGACATACAAACTATAGACTAGTTCATATATCAAGATTATAATATAACAACTATACTCTATTTCATAAGTATGACTATAAATATCATATGAGAACATAACTTTGGAAGAACTCATATTTGTATTCATACCCAAAGGTCTCTTCTTCCAAGGAGCCAAGCTCTCCAAGGTAGCTTTGCCTTGCTCTAATACAACTACTAAAAGGTAAAGAGAACTAGAGAGACCGAGGTAAGCTCAATGTGTTGTGTGTTGAGAGAGGGGGGTACCCCTCTATTTTATATAGGAGCCTAGGCAGTGCTTCGTCTATTCCTTGTGTGAAACTCTAGGCTGCACTGCCTTAGCATGGTGGCATGCCACCGCTAGAGTGAGGGGTGGCTGAGCAGCGCCATCAGGGGGTTGCCCGCCCCTAGGGGTCGTCCGTCCCCTGACTAAGCCGCCTCGCCACCACCTTCGCGTGGTATGCCTTGGGCTGGACATGGGTCACAGCTTCGTGGGGTTTTGCCCCGGTTGAGTTGATTTGATGGGCATCTCCCTTGTTCCTTTACACAAATTAGCGTCGAAAAACGCCTTTCGGTGAATTATTCCATGTATTTGTGTTTGTGACCTCCAAAATAATGTTCTCCAAATACATGTGGAACTTGGTTAATAGTAAATGCATATGTGATTAAGATTGCTTAGTTCTCCTCTTTTTGTGTCTTAATTGGCAGTCGAATTTGATCGGTAAAGACCACCAACATTAACCACAAAAATCCCTCACATTGACCACTTATCACCACCCATGGTTTATTATGAACCCATAATAGTACTTGAACAAAATAATATTCACTACTACAGAAAAACTTAACCAAGGCGTTTCGTTTTGGGCTCAGAGGTGGGCGGGCTGGTTGCCTACCTTCGTTATTCGGTGGTCGAGCAGCCGGCTCAGCAACCGCCTCAGTTAATCATTAATGGAGGTAGGGAACCTAAAGCGCCCACCTCAGTTAATGTCGATTAACCGAGGCCCGCCGGTGTTAATATGGCCTGATTAGAGATGCCCATCTTAGCCCAAAACTAAGGTCAGAGTATATAACCCTAATGAAACCCTAGCCCTCACCCCTCACTCTCATTATCACCCATCACCGCCCAGAAACAGCGGCGCCCTCACCCCTCACCCTCTCAGGATCCATCTCCCTCACCCCTCTCTCAGTCGTGGATGACCGGCATCCCGACTGGCCCAGGCATGCAGCGTGTGGCTCGCGGGCCTTGCCCCGATGTGGGGTGGCGCTTCCAGCTCGGCGTGCAGCATCCCGGCCCCGGCCTACCATTGTGCGGCATGCGGTGGCGCTCTCGGTCTAGGCGTACAACATCTCGGCCCCGGCCTCCTGACGGCGCACGGGCCCTACCGGCCGGCGTGCGGCGTCCCTCCTAGCGTGTGGCCCCACCGGCCAGATCCGTCCCCGCGTTGCTCTCTTCATCCACAAGCAGGTCTCCTCTCTCTCTCTCTCTCTCTCTCTCTCCTTGTCTCCCTCTCACTCTTGATCTCCTTGTAGATCTAGATCCAAGACGATGGCGGCACGACGATGTTGGTGTTTGATGACCGACAACTTGTCACGGGGTTGCCCGGGACGATGGTTGGTGGGCTTCGATGTGCGTGGAACCCAATGGTGAACGCAAAGAGATGAATGGTTTATACTGGTTTGGGTCCTCATAACCGAGTAATAGTCTTTACGTCCAGTCGGCGTATAGCCTTTTGTGTTGGATTGATTGATATGATTGTGTGTACAAGGGGGTGCACCGTACCTCTCTTTATATAGGGGAAAGGGTAAGGGCACGTATCTAGTCGTAGTCTATTATGATAGAAGAGTCCTAGTTCTATTACAGAATCTAGCTTTCTTAGTAAGCCGACTAAGTTGATCTTGAATAGCCTGAAGACCACGCCACCTTGCCTCGTGTCCTTCAGCAGATCGTGGGCCAGCCCAGGGCCCAGCCGAGTAGTGGACCCTATGGGGAACCCCTAGGACCCTGGTCCATCAAGCCCCTGAGCGTGTCATGGTTGAACTTGGAAGCCTCCTTGTTCCTCCTAGTCTTGCTGAGTAGAAACAAGCATCGTCCGAGTGCTTTCATAAGTGAAGCCATGAGGTGCTCTTGAAAAGAATATGCATCACCACTAGGTGAAGCATATATGCTTAGCCCCCGAGCCTCTTATTGTTTGGAACAAATAGTTTAGAGGGTCTAAAAGAAAAAAACATCCATAGAGGATATGTACCCTGCAGCCCCCGAGCCTGTGACTGAGTACTTGTACTCGAGACAAGGATCTTGAAAAGAATATACTCGAGGATGCGAGTGTGAGCAATAATTGTAGTCATGTCTGCTTGTCAAGGAGCAGGCAAGACTGTCGAAGTCACATGCAAAGCATTTGCAGCTGGCTCAAAGATGTAGAGAATATTGGATCGAATATGCTATCAAAGATGCCGCTGATTGTACTGTTGCCTCACATGTGTTGAAATAAGGCTATCCGGCGCACTGTAAAGGTGTAGTGGGGTGCACTATACCCTTGTAATGTGGCATGTGAGCCTATACCAAAGTCAGTAACGTGTCTACTCCCTACTCCGTGAACATAGTCCATGTACACCAGCTTGAAACCTATAAAAACCCGCCTGGCAAACGCTTGGACTTCAGTTGTAGAAGAGGTAAAGTAGCTATGAGTTTGTAGCTTACAAATATGGTGGTGAGCGAAGTAGACCAGCCCTCGGGAGTACTCGGTATGCATAGCAAAGTGTTGTAGTGACTAGAAGAATTCTTGTGATAGGAATTAGAAGTAGGCTAATCCCGCAGTTGTGCACAGTAGAGTAGCCTGTAGCTACAGCTAGAAGAATCCTTGTGACGGCTGGTAGAATGGCACATCCAGTAGTTCCATGTCAGTTCTTCGAGCGTGCCTATCGACGTCTGTCTTTGAAGGGTCGCACTCTGACCCGAGTGAGTTCAGACAGAGTTGGTTGGGTGGCAAGATGTGCATGGAGTTCATCCTGCATACTAGCCGGCAGGCTGCCTCCTACAGCAGCTATGCTCCCAAGGGTAGTCAACCAACAAATGTTCGTAGTCCGACTGACTACCCAAGGTTTTAGGCTAGGACACACTGCACTTCTGTTACCTACCCGGATGCACTACTCTTCTGTCCATGAAGCCAGGTGGGCCAGGTAGAAAAAACACCTACTGAGAAGCACTTAGAGTATGAGTACTCTGTCATAGCCGAGTAGGCTTTGCACTTGTAATTTTCTGAAAAATCTTGTATCCAATGTCTGATGATCTGAATAAAACATAAAAAATTAATGCCATCTTGTATGTGGAACACTTGTGATGTGAATGTGGTGGAAAAAGGGCGTGCCTGTCAAACTGGCCGGTAAACCGTGTACACAGTGTAGAACCGTTAAGCCTAATGGTGGGGAAACCGAAAAGTTGTCTGTACTGTATTGGCTCTGCAACAGCGCTGCATCTCAATCACACTGTAGTAGTGGAGAAGTTGAAAGGTTTTCTCCATACTTATAAATACCCCCTAGGGTAACTGCGAATTTCACCCCTTTGCTCAAGCCGCCGCCACCAGCGTTCTCACCCTCCCACTCCACAAACCCTAGCCACTGCCAGGTGAATGCGAGTGAAGAAGTTGGTGAACTTCCATGAGATGGTGAAGTCGAAGAAGATCGTTACCACCAATCCCACCAAGAAGGGAGGCAAGAAGCAGGCAGATAAGGTAGATCCGTACGCCACAAAAATGCAGATCTAGGAGGAGTCGACCGTGAGGGATGCTGCCTTGGAGAAGCTGCATGATGATGGATTGCCACCGGAGAAGCATCTTGGCGAGTGGAAAGCCCCCGATAACCATCGTGTCCTTGTTCTTGATGAGAGTGTGATAGTGTTGTTTACTCCGTTTGTCGAGAAGGGGCTTGGACTACCCGTGTCTGATTTCTTCCGTGGATTGTTGTACTACTACGACATCCGCATGAACCATTTGAACCCAAATTCCATCATGCAACTTTCAATTTTTGTGCATTTGTGTGAAGCATTCCTCGGCATCCCTCCTTCAATCCATCTATTCCGTTATTTCTCAAACTAAAGCCGCACTCTGACGCGGCGAACCCAAATGTAGTCGGTGGAGCTAGGTTTCAATTTAGGATAGGGCGGAAGACAGAGTTCATAACTTATAACCTTCGCGATTCCAATAAGAACTGGAAGAGTAAATGGTTTTACACTGGCAACTTGCTGCCATCTCTTGAGACCCATACCGTAGACGCCCCTAGGGTTAATCCCCGTTGGGAGCAAGAAAATCGTACAAGAATTTGAAGCCATTCGCCCTCACATCGCACAAATTGTTGTACTGCGCCGGTGGGGCTTGTCCGGAGAAGGCGTAGCAGCTAGCTGGGTAGGTCGTCGGATCCAGCCGCTGCAACAAAGAATCAACTACTGGTTCGAGTACTCTAGACCAGAGGACCCGGCCCGCATAACCAAGGAACAAATGTCTGACGCCGAGTTGCTAGACCGGCTTCAGCATATGTTTGCTCAGCTGATAGTATTACCCACCCCTCAGGACGAGTACCATGCCAAGCGTCCTCCTCCAGATGTAAGTTATCTTGAAGTCTGTTAAATAACCTTGTTCATATAAGGCCGAGTATTATAACTGATATAACCTGTATCTGGATGCAGCATCTTGGGAGGAATTTCATGGATCTCCTGCCACTACCACCACCACCACCGACTGGAGGTGCAGGCCCCAGTGCCCATAGCAGCGCCGTGCCATTGCCTAACAGGGGGGAGGAAGAGTGGGATGACTCTGAGGCCACCCTGACTGATTACCTGCTCCGTTGGAGGCAGACTACTGAAGGCGGAGCGAAGCGAGCATGTAGTCCGAGTGTGGACTCAGAGGGCACCACAACTCTACAGAGGAGACCGCGAGTGGCGGCTCGCAAACAGAGGGAGAGTCTGAACAAAGAGCGTCTTGCTCAACAACATGGTAAAGGCTCTTTTGTCTTCAAAACTTCAGAAGAGTAGTAGTCCTTTAACACTCCTACTGGTTGACAGAAGAAGCTAAGCCGGCTGCCAGGGAAACACTCAAGTGCTACCTCAATGGATGCAAATCCTGACGTGGTGGCTCAAATTAAAGTCATCTTCTGGAGATACCGGAGTTGGGAGACGATGGCGTGTCATTTGGGGGCACGGCACCTCTCGCTTCGAGAAAGCTATCTGGCCTTTGCAAGAAGGCCATCGAGACGTAAGTCTAATGACCATGTAGACCTGTACTCTGATTTCTTCTCTATGTTACTCTTCTTAATGAATTAGATCATCAAGTAAGGAAAAGACGCCGCCACGCCCTGTGGCAAACCCTGCGTCGCTGAGGGAGGCATAGACGGGTAACCTTGAGTTGGATCCACTGATGATAGGAAACCCGGAGCCGACACCGAGTAACCCTACTGCCGAGGCCACCCCGAATGTTGAGAATCAGAGTAGCACTGTTGCTATTGGGGTACTGGCTACCCGGACAGAGCAAGCGAGTAGCACTCAGCAGCCCATGGAGTCGTATGCTCCTCACCTAGCTCAAGCCAGGGAAGTGTGGAGCATGGCTACCGAAAAGGCTGCTGAGTTTGACTCCATCTTCAAGGTAAATTGTAATCCTTTAATATACCAGTTCCATGCTTAGCCGCTGAATGTTGAATAATGTTGCACATGTAGCTTTCTATGCAGGAGCTAGAGGTCAAGGCGTCCCAGCAGGCCCAACTGATACATGCTACTTGGCCTCCGAAATTGCATGCCTAAAGCAGCAGCACTTTGAGGAGTTGGCCGCTGCGGAGCGACGCCGAACCGAGTCAGTTCGAGCATTGAAGGCTCAGCTGGATGAGATGAGCAAGTCATTGGAGGATATCGGGCTACAACGGGATCTGACTCTGATTGATTTGTAGGCTCCTCAGGATGTCCAGAAAAAGGCCAAGGATACATATGAAGCCAAGAGCTAGGCGCTGGTGAAGAAACTGAAAGGTAACTTTCTTCCTATCTGCCTTGAGCTGAGTAGTTTTGATTTGTAGAAATCTTTAACTAAACCCATGCCCGCGCCCGGTAGATGCTGAAACTCTGACGGAGCAACACTGTAAGAAGGCAGAAGAGTATCTGCAAGCCTTTAATTGAAAGGATGGAGAGCTCCAAGAGGTAGGAGGAGCGCAAGCCGTCCTAACAAAGAGTAAGCAAATCCACCTTGGCGCTGACAGAGATGTTTTGCAGGCCATGAAGACTACTCAAGAAGTTATTACTCGGGCCAAAGCTTTCAACGAGAAGCTGCAAGCCCTGCGCATGGTGGTGACCCCAGTGCTACAATTCTTTAATGAAGATGGAGATGAAGCCCAAACGATGGTGGAGCTTGTTGGGAGGGTTCCAGACCGAGCCAACGCATATGCCAAGTCGTTAGCGAAAGATGGGATTCTTCGCGCGCTCGCTGCCATCCAGTTGGCCGTTCCCAGAATAGACTTTGGCACCCCTCGGGGAGTTCCGGGTCTCAGAATATTCCATAGAGGTGCTCGCCAAAGCTGAACAATCCATCGAGGAGTTAACCGAGCGTTGTATGCAGCAACTGAGTGTAGGGCCCGAGTAAATTCCTGGCAAGATTAGCTCTCTGTAATATGAACAAGTAATTGAATGTAAGGTTGGTGCTGGCGGTCACTGGTGATCGATTCTGACCGCCAATTAATATCCAAAACCAAAGAAATAAACAAACTTTCAACATATATGCTTTTACTATTAACATATTTCCACATGTATTGGATACTTAATGTTTTGCAGGACATATACGCTAAATACATGGGAAAATGATCATAAGGCGCAACACAGGAAAGCGTAAAGCAGAAAAGTGCAAAGGAGCTGAGCAAAAGTCCACCCACAAGCTAAACTTGGGCCAGGCACCAACGTGGAAGCAACCCAGGCCCAACCAAAAGCCCACCAGAGCAAGGCGGTGGTGAGCGGAGCAGCCCACGGTGCGCCCGCACCGCCCCCTAGCTCCGCTCGGGCCGAGTTTGCTCTGGCGGTTGCATGGTGGCATGCAAAGGCGGTCCACGTCGATTTCCTAATTTACCTACGCCAAACCGACCTCCATGTCACTATAAGAAGAGGGGTGGAGCTCTCTTTCAACACACACAACATTTGAGCCACTGCACCTCCACTTCTCTACTTGTACTCTTCTAGTTTTTAGTTACATTTGGAACTAGCAAGAGCTATCAAGGAGGGTTTGGCTCCTTGAGAGAAAAGAGAGAAAGCTTGGTATGAATACAAAGAGAATTTCTTCCAAAGTCATACTCTCATATCATAAATATAGTATTGCATATGAACTAGACTATAGTTTTCATATTATAATCTTGACATATGAACTAGCATATAGTTTGTATGTTATGATCTTAACATGTTCAACTTTATGCTTAACCATTCATATGACTTATATGAGTAGAAGTAGAGCTAGGTTGAGGTGACGGTTCATCGTGCCTTGGTGTGTTTAATATCCTGCGCTTGTCGATCCATAGAAGTCGAGGTGGGATATACCCATATCCCACCGACTCTAACCCTACGGGCGGTTACATAGGATATGGGCACACCCGAAGGCACGATGAACCGTCACCTCAACCTAGCTCTACTTCTACTCATATACCCGGTTACATGGGAGCAGGTGAGTACATTTCCTACTCTCCGGTCGAGGGGTTGGTAGCAGGTGATGACAGCCCTGTCCTTCCCTTATAATCCCCCACGTTCGGGTAGAGTGTAGGAGTCTAAATTGCCACATGAGGTTGCTGGCAGACCAGTACTGAGTGGCCTCCCGACCTATCTTAAACTTAGTTCTAGCTCTAATCATGTAACTTGTATGACCATTAACTGTTCTTTGCACGGCTATATTTGATCATGCCAGCTCCACTTAGGAACATTCTTTTATTCTTTATTTTTGTTTTATCCTTGAGGTTGGCTCAAATGTGTATCCACTATCCTTGAAATACCGCTTTTACCCCTATCATGAACTATTGGTTTACTAATGTAAGTTTGTAATTTTGTTCATACTCATTCTAGACTCTTATACCTTGCCCTCTTTTGGGAAAATATAAATAACGATACCCTGAGTGATGGTGCTAAGAAATACCAACAGACATTTCTAGCATCATTACCGGGAATGGACTTGAAGCCTCCATACTTGGTGATTGTGCTAAGAAATGCCAACAAGCATTTCTGGCGCCGTTGCCGGTGAGGGCATAGGTTAAAGAATCAAGTAGGACATGATCATGATCGCATGCATGTAATTGTAGCCATAGTTTATGCAGGCTAATTATGCTTGTTTTCTTCCTATTGTGGATAAAAACAGGATAGTGTATGACCGGTTACAACCTGCCGGAAAACTACACCGATAATCCTGAGGTGTTCCTAAGGAAGAATAGGTCTCACACCGCTTCTTCCTCCGCTACTCTGTCGGCAATTGAGCTAGTCGCCCCCGCACCATCTGCTACTACTGCTATGGCCAAGACACTCCGCAGCTACTCCACCCCCGTTGTTGTCAACATGCCTATTGGGCCCGCTGTCAACATGGGAGCTCGTACTGGCCTGGTCACGATGGTGCAGGCAAACCAATTCTATGGTTTGCCTAGCGAGGATGCAAGTGCACACGTGCAACACTTCCTGGAGCTGTGTGACACCATCATCATCAAAGACGTCGCACTAGCTAGCATAAGGCTCCATTTGTTTTCCTTCTCCCTTGCGGGGAAGGTGAACCGGTGGTTCTATAAGGAGAAGGAAGCTGTCATTACGTGGGACAAATGTTCTGCGGTGTTTCATGCAAAGTTTTCCCCATGGGCAAAACCAATACCCTGAGGGAGAAAATTTCAAACTTCCAGCAAACTTCATTGGAGTCCATCCCCGAGGCGTGGGAGAGGCTGTAGGATTACATCCAGGCACACCCGCACCACGGGATGGAGAACTGGCTCATGCTCTAGAACTTCTATGAGGGGCTTATGTCCATGTCGAACGGGCATGTGGATGCCGCTGCTGGAGGATTGTTCCTTTCCCTCACCATCGATGGAGCCACGGTTCTTATCGAAAAGATGGTGGCCAATCAGAGCTGGGGTGGAAAGAAAACAACAAAAAGGCATGCATACCTTGAAGGAGGCGAATATGCTTGTCACAAAAATAGATTTGTTACTAAAAAGACTGGACGAGCGTGCCGCTGACAAAGAAGCTTTGAAAAGCACCGTCCAAGCCATGGACTCACATTTGACATGTGAGGTCTGTGGATAAGTCGGACATTTAGGAAATGACTGCCTCAAGACCCATGAAGAAGCATCGTACATCAATAATGGTTTCCGACAAGGTAACAATAATGGGTGGAACAACTAGTCCCGCCCACAAGCAGGTAATTCGAACTTTAACTCAAATTACAATTCAAACCAACCCTCCTAGAAGGACCTAGTGCTAGGTCAAGCAAAAATTAATGAAAATATAACCAAAAATTTAATGGTTAATGATAAAATGATTGAAAATATAAATACAAAACTTGAGAATTTATCCTCCTCTATTAAGAACCAATTGAGTTTTAATAAAATGATAGAAACTCAAATTGCTCAAATAGCTGCTGCTATTCCTGTCAATCATTCGGGGAAAATCCCAGGGCAACCCGAGAATTCCCCCGGGTTTGTTCATGCAACTGCAGAGCAATAGAGGAGAAGTCTTGCCGACGGACTATAAATGTTGAGCCCTTGACGAAGGTAAATTGATGGTTATCTTTTAAAAATTCAAAGATTCAAAATTTAAAATTTGTTTCAAAATAAACTTTTTAGAAAGATAAAATAAAAATCATTTTCTAACAGTATAGATTTTTCTGTTATCATTTTTCATTTTTTTAAAACATTTATGAAAATTGAAATTACAATAAAAGTTTTGTGGAAAATCAATTTCGGGAGCAAAATTTTGAAACTGAGGGAAGCACCAACGGCTACATCATCCACATAGCCATTGGGAGCAACCGGCTAAAGGGGGCAGCAGTGGGCCCATCTCTGGTGCGGGCGCACCAGGGGTGTGGCCACACCCTGCCTGGCGTCTCTGGTACTGCTGCTGCTCCAACGGCTCCTAGCAGTTGCCCTCTCCCCCTCTCGGCTGGTGCTCCCTTCTATAAATACCGAGAGCTCGGTTTGAGGCTCTCCTCACCCTCACACTCTCCTTTTTCACTCCCTCTCTCTCCTTGTTCTATGACTTGCAAAAATAGTTTTCAGAAAGCTCAAGTGCAAGGAAACTCTGCAGAAATTTCCTAAGCTCATCACCACCAAGCCAAGCTCACGGGTTGTTTGATTTATTTTCACTAATGTTACCCTGTTTTCAAGCTTGTTGTGCTATTTTTGCACGGGAAAGTTTAGTAGGAAGCTCACCGACGCTTTCAAGAAGGCCGTGGTAGCAAGCTCAAGTCGCTCCCATGGAAGCTCGAGCGCATGCTACACCGAGCCCAAAGAGAGACCGATGCATGAAGATGAAGAAATTGAGTCGACGGAAGAGCAATAAGAGCAAGAGCAAGAACAACCGATGGAGGAAGGCGACGATGACCCACACCTTGATTTGGAGGGAGACCGAGAGATGCAAGCGTACAACCTGATCAAGAATCATGAGTTTGTCCACATGCCTACATATGACCCCGACCTTCTCCAAAAGATAGATATGGACACCGAATTCGCCACCATCTGGAAAGCCGTTGGATGGGAAAACGTTGCTCCCGTTGACGAGCTTGGTTCTTGTCTCCTAACAATTCAATTCTTATACTCTTTGCAAGAAGTTGAGGGCGGGATTACTTTCTGTTTTTTTGAGAAAGAATATTATCTTATGTGGAGGAATCTCAGTTCTCACTTAGGCTTTAGTACAAAATGCTCAATTGACTTAGATCATGCCCTCAAAGGTTTTAATCGTCATGAATTTTGGAGAATGATTTCTAGTCAAAATATAGTTGGCAAGTTTCAACCTCAAAATATGAATATTCATCATACTACTTTGAGGTTCATGCATCGTTAGATTGCCATGACTTTGTTTGCTAGGCAAGATATAAGATTTGTTTATCATGCTAAATTGCAAATTCTCTATGCCATGCTTAAAAAGACTAAAATTGCTCCTGTGAAAGAAATATTTAAACATTGGTTAGAAACATTCAAGGCTTCTACATCTATCTCTTGCACATCCCTTGTGACTCGTATTGCCACTAATATTGGTGCATTGGATGGACAAGATGTGACATACTTCTCTACTCCACACATTGATACTAATGGGCACTACTTGATGCAAGGGCATCATTTGAACTATGATAATGCATGAAACCTTGTGTTTTTCTTTCTAGGATATACAAACAAGATTCTATTACCTAACTTGGAACTCTCTTTGTATAAATCCCCATCACTCACCTTCACTCTTTTTACGAACAAGAGGAAGTGCGTAGGAGTTCTGTTTCTTGCAGGGCAACAAGGAGCAGGGCTAGGGACAAAGAAGGCAGCTCTCATCAGCCACTGGCAACACCGACACCACTTGTACCCCAG